GTGATATGGGTGTGATAATCATGTGATTATCACACAATTATCACACTATCGCTTATATCCACACGATTTGGTGTGATATAGGTGTGATAATCATGTGATTATCATACAATTATCACATTATCGCTTATATCAACATGATTTGGTGTGATTTGGGTGTGATAATCATGTGATTATCACACAATTATCACAAGGATTCCGTTCGGCTAGGGTTAACTTAAAAAATTGACTACCGATTTGGTGTGATATGGGTGTGATTTGGAGACGCATGAATGAAAGAGAAGAAGACGTGATCAATGAACGAGAAGAAGACGTGGAAACGTGAAGATAAACATGGTTAATTAAAATAAAATAAAAATTATAAAAATTACTTAATTACATTACTGCCCTTATTAAATTATTTATATATAATAAAAGTTAATTTATTAATTAAAAAAGTTTGTGGTTGTTGAGTTGTTCTCGCGTTTTCGTAAATCACAGGGGTTCTCGTTTGAACCTCTACATATATATATATATATATATATATATAAGTTTAAATGAAAACCAATTTTCGGTTGTGAACTAGGGAATAAAGGAGAGCATGCCACATATCCCATGCGTCCACAGATTATTCATCATGAATAATGTATCATTCATGATTAATGTGTATTATTCATCATGAATAATGAATTAATTTAACTTGGATGATGATTGTATATTATTCATCATAAATAGTTTATGAAGTTCACATTTGTTTTTCATACTAAATGCCATCCATTATTCATCCTGAATGTGGACGCAAATGACACGTGTCATGCTCTCCTTTATCCGCCGGTATACAACCGAAAATCGGTTTTCTTTTGAACTTTCTCTCTCTCTCTCTCTCTCTATATATATATATATATATACATACATACATAGACGAAAGATTGTGTGAGAATAGGAATTAAAATGAAAAAAATAAGAAAGATCTGGACTTTTGATCACTTTTAATCTCATCTCACCCCATTAATTGCGCTTATCATGAGAATTGATTCCATGCATCTTAGTTGGTGCATTGCATTAGTGTTGATATTTAATTAGGATTGATCCAAGGGTGAATGCGAGACAGACCCGCTCTATTAGATACGATGACATGGGCTATTGCTTCGTTCCTTCGTTTTAATGTAAAAAATTTATAGGGTCGTCAAAGGTGCCACCATGCAACCATTTTTGAAACTACGATGGTGACACAAGTTTCCTTAGTAGAGTTAGTTTACATGATTGTTCGCCCACCCCAGCAGTGGCGGATCCAGGATTTTGGTCTAGTGGGAGCACCTTTAAGGTAGCTTAAACGCTCATAAAGTCGTCCGATGTGTTTTTAGTCTAATTTCACAATTCCAAGAGTTTTTTGAAGTTTTTTTGGATTATTTTGAGGGATTTTTTAAGGTTTCTTTATCGATTTCGAGGAACTTTTCAGTTTTTTGGTTGATTTCAAAATACTTTATTTAGTTGGTGGAGGCTCTAACAAGAAATTAATGAGGAGAACCATGATAGAAAGTAAAAAAGACAACTTCTAACCTTAGGAAAATTCCTTTTTTTTATTTTTTAATGGGGGCCCTTCCCCCCACTTTTTACATGATAAGTCCGCCCCTGCACCCCAGACTCGGGTTTGAATCCCGTTTGTGTCACTTTTTTTAGTTTTTAGCTTTTAATGTCAGATTTATTATGTTTCTAAATTTTTTTAATAGAAAACTTCAACACCAGACCTCGCATATGAAAAACAAATAAGTAACCAATAGACCAATTATGATTTTGTAAAAGATATTCATATCTTTGTTTTTTATAATCAAATGGTGTCAATACTTAATTTTTTTTAGGTCCGCCTGCCTATAGGGTGAAGATCTCTTCTCACCATTCTCATAGGAACCCAACTCTATATATATAGAAGCGATCAAATACAAACCATCCATATTTGTACAAACCGTGCAAACCATCCTCATTTGTCTACTTCATTGTTTAATCTTATGAAATTTTCACATAAAATGTTTAATCTTATGAAATTGTTTCATATAATATTTTTTTTGATAAAGTTGTTTCATATATGGTTATGAAATTGTTTCATAGAATACTTATGGAATTTTAATGAAACTGTTTTATGTGTTTCTCTAAAACTAATATTATGAAGATGATAATATCCATGATTAACACCCTACACAAAAAAAATGATTAACCAATCCCTCGTAATTACAAAAAAAATGAACAAAATGAAAAATTATGATCGGTTGAATGATGTTTGTATGTTTGTACAAATAACGTGGTTTGCAAAGTATCCTCCCCCCCTCTCTCTCTCTCTCTCTCTCTCTCTATATATATATATATATATATATATATGGTTGTACATGTGGGAAATTCTCATCATGCCATATATTGTAACACTCGTATTTTCATTGTAACCATTAAAATGTAAATTTGGGGAAACAGTCGATGAGCGACAAGGAATCAATCAGAGAACGGTTAGGAAACGGTCGGTGAACGGCCAATGAAAGGGTCGGTGAACAATTGGGGAACAGTCGGTAAGGGTTGCATAACCCATCTGACGTTTAAAAATCCAATTTGGCGAGGGTTTTTTTTATTTGGTCATAACTTTCTCGTTCCTTGTCCGATTTGAGCGATCCAGAGGCTACAATGACTTTTATTAAATAGTCATTGAGTTGTTGAGGATTTGGCTCGGTTTTGACTCAGACGAGTCGTGAAGACTTATGTCTGGTTCTTCTTGCTCTATGTTGAGCCTTTAGAGTTATATGCAGTTATGACATATTTGTTTGAATATTACATGTTTTGAGTGTGCGATTATTCGTGTGGGGTAATGTAATTTAGACTGTAATTCAATGGATTCATAGGCATAGGAGTCGATTTGGACTGAATACGAATCAGCGGAGGACTCAAGGTAAAGACTCGAAGACTTGAACTTGATGTCGTGTGATCCGTAGCAGGGAACTCAAGGTAAAGATTCGAAAAGTTGAACTTGTTGACCGCACAATCTATAGTGGCTGTCATTTCTAGTGAACGATCTTAACTTGGATTCTTAGAGGTCTCAAGGTAAAGATTCAAAGAGTTGAACTTGGCAACTCCACAAGTAAAAGACTCGAATAGTTAAGCTTGTTAACCTATTAACTAATAGACCCAKAAAGTTTGATGTTAATAATTGTTTATCCATAAGTGATGTTTATATAACATTGAAATAGGCTTACTTATGTGTCCCATCACTGTCAATGGAACTGGGTCTCCCCCGTCACCGAAAGGTGAGTTTTGGATGTGATATTTCATCCACGTTTTCATGTTGTTTTGGGTATGAAAAGTATCCACGTTTTGATGTTGTAGAAGCGTTTATTGTTTATACTTGGTTGCTTTAGGATACTTGAGTTTTATTTATGTCTCCGGTATTTGAACGTCAAACTTTATACTTGCTTGTGCGAATATTGGGTTTGATCAAGTATAAATGGGTGTTTTTGTTAATGGGGTTTCATTAAGAAAAATGGTAGCTTTCGGAAAGATGTTGCTAGTACGATAAAGACATTTCATTTGTGAAATTATGTAACACCCCATACTCCACATTTGCATAAAACACATATTTCATTACATAGAAACATGGATTACATCAAAAGGTCCCACTAGTACATGGATTGCTATATG